ATTCATTATTTTATGAATGGGATACTTTATAAGAATTATAAATTATTTTTACATGATTAAATAATTTTGGCAGAGTAAGTCCGCAGGACTTAAATATCCAGTCAGACCTAGTATCTACATCTGGACCAGGAAGCCTTTGTGTTACAGATACAGATTCCCTGTGAAGTTCTCCAGGGTGTAAAGAAGGCCCCAGTGAGGTGCCAATGGGGAGTGAGGGCTGCCTCTCAGCTCAGGTGAGCCTGCAAGCAACAGGGCAGTTAGGGGAGGGAAGGGAACAGTGGGTAACTGGTGATTATGTAACATCAAACCAGGATGCTTTCTTCTTTTTAAAGAAACTTTTGTTGAGTGTTTACCCAACCCCATCCATACAAATATGTTCTCTAGTAAATGTGAAACTATAAGCTTCAGAAAAATGTTTTTCTCATCCTTTAATTTCTGGTTTTATGATCAAATGTTTCAAAGACACTGCTTCTTTAAGGTCAAAATAGTTGACATTTTCATTGCTTCTAGTTTTTCAGCTCCTACTATGCTTACTACGTCCATGAGTGCCACTGACATCTTTGGCTATTTATCATCTCTAGAAAAGAAAAAAAAAATTTAGGATGTAGGATTCACAATAAATCTCTCACCAAATCCTCCTTAAGTCCCTAAACTCTCTACCTGGCTCTGACTCCAAGGATCACCCTTTCAGTTCTTTCCATGTTTTTCTTTGGAAAATGTAGTTTCCTATCCTTTCTACCCACTCTTCTCGTCTACTCTTAGGTCTGCAGCCACAGTGATAATTCTAAGTTGCAAACCTGATCACGTCCTTCCAGTACTCAGTCTTTCAAAACTCTTCCTACTTCCCCCAAGGGTGAAGCCTGAACTCTTTAATAGGCATCTAAGGACTTGGACCTGGATCCTGCTAACCAGTTAATTTATCTTTGTCTCTAACTCCCTCCCTTCATCTTTCAAGGCACAGTGCAGGACTAAACTCATCCTGAAAGTACTAAGCCTCAATACGTCTTTAGGAAAAACACATGTATACACACACGCATGCAAAGAGAGGAAGCATAGCTTAGTGGTTAACCTACATAGATTGCAACTTGCCTAAATAATCCACTATTTATCTATGTTTTAATAAAATGAATTGCTTTAATACAAATATATGAAATTCATCTATCTTTTCTCTGGAATGCCTTTGCCTGTTCAAAGATTATACAATACACCCATATGTTACAGAGGAAGATGTCCCTTCATTTATAAAAGACAGTTAAGACATAGACAAAAACTCTAGAGTAGGACAACTCTACTGGAAATATGCTAAATTAGGGTTCTGATTAGAGTTCATGGAATTAACTCAGGTGAGAGAGAGAAAACACTCACCATTAATCTAGGGGTAACAGAGAAGTTAAACTCCAATTCAGAACTAGAGCAGTTCAAAATCAGAATCTAGAGTCAGTCTACATGGGCTTGATCTGGGAATGTGCCCTTTATTATACATGTAACCTTGGCAGCTGCTTGACTGAACTGGTCTTCGATTCCTCATGGAATGAATATAAGAAGATCTGATAAATGCAATTAGACAGTGCCTGAAACAGTAGTCCTAAGTGGGTGTTTTTGTTGTCCCATTTTTTGAGAAACAAAATCAAAGGCAATTCAATTAAAACTGCAGGTTTCTTGATTTCATCCTAATACTTAGCAAATTAATCACAGAACCCAAGTGAAATTGCCTAGACTCTCAAAGAGTTCGAAAAACATTTCAAATACACTCAAAATTATCCTAGTTGATGTTCACAGATTATCAAGAGTAAAGCACCTTCATACAGTTTTGATCCTTACACTATCTAAATCTGAGGAGCTGTCAGGAAAGACATGTAAGGAAAGATCTAAGCTGAAACTCAAACCACACATGAGGCTTTTGAACTGCAACCAACTAGTAGTTAAAATTAACTTTATGCTTCTCTGTCCACCTAAGGAGAAATTAAACCTTTAAGAAGGCAAAGGCTGAAAACTCTCAACAAACTAGGTATTGATGGGATGTATCTCAAAATAATAAGAGCTATGTATGACAAACCCACAGCCAATATCATACTGAAGGGGCAAAAACTGGAAGCATTCCCTTTGAAAACTGGCACAAGACAGGGATGCCCTCTCTCACCACTCCTATTCAACATAGTGTTGGAAGTTCTGGCCAGGGCAATCAGGCAAGAGAAAGAAATAAAGGGTATTCAATTAGGAAAAGAGGCAGTCAAATCGTCCCAGTTTGCAGATGACATCATTATAATATTTAGGAAACCCCATCGTTTCAGCCCAAAATCTCCTTAAACTGATAAGCAACTTCAGCAAAGTCTCAGGATACAAAATCAATGTGCAAAAATCACAAGCATTCCTATACAACAATAACAGACAAACAGAGAGCCAAATCAGGAGTGAACTCCCATTCACAATTGCTTCAAAGAGAATAAAATACCTAGGAATCCAACTTACAAGGGATGTAAAGGACCTCTTCAAGGAGAACTACAAACCACTGCTCAATGAAATAAAATGGGACACAAATGGAAGAACATTCCATGCTCATGGACAGGAAGAATCAATATCGTGAAAATGGCCATACTGCCCAAGGTAATTTATAGATTCAATGCCATCCCCATCAAGCTACCAATGACTTTCTTCACAGACTTGGAAAAAACTACTTTAAAGTTCATATGGAACCAAAAAAGAGCCCACATTGCCAAGACAATCCTAAGCTAAAAGAATAAAGCTGGAGACATCATGCTACCTGACTTCAAATTGTACTACAAGGCTACAGTAACCAAAACAGCATGGTACTGGTACCAAAACAGAGATGTAGAACATTGGAACAGAACAGAGGCCCCAGAAATAATACCACACATCTACAACCACCTGATCTTTGACAAAGCTGACAAAAACAAGAAATGGGGAAAGGATTCCCTATTTAATAAATGGTGCTGGGAAAACTGGCTAGTCATGTGTAGAAAGCTGAAACTGGATCCCTTCCTTACACCTTATACAAAAATTAATTCAAGATGGATTAAATACTTAAATGTTACACCTAAAACCATAAAAACCCTAGAAGAAAACCTAAGCAATACCATTCAGGCCATAGGCATGGGCAAGGACTTTATGACTAAAACACCAAAAGCAATGGCAACGAAAGTCAAAATTGACAAATGGGATCTAATTAAACTAAAGAGCTTGTGCACAGCAAAACAAACTATCATCAGAGTGAACAGGCAACCTACAGAATGGGAGAACATTTTTACAATCTATCCATCTGACAAAGGTCTAATATCCAGAATCTACAAAGAACTTAAACAAATTTACAAGAAAAAAAATCAAACAACTCCATCAAAAAGTGGGCAAAGGATATGAACAGACACTTCTCAAAAGAAGACATTTATGTGGCCAACAGACACATGAAAAAATGCTCATCATTACTGGCCATCAGAGAAATGCAAATCAAAACCACAATGAGATACCATCTCACACCAGTTAGAATGGCAATCATTAAAAAGTCAGGAAACAACAGCTGCTGGAGAGGATGTGGAGAAATAGGAATGCTTTTACACTGTTGGTGGGACTGTAAACTAGTTCAACCATTGTGGAAGACAGTGTGGCAATTCCTCCAGGATTTAGAACTAGAAATACCATTTGACCCAGCCATCCCATTACTGGGCATACACTCAAAGGATTATAAATCATGCTGCTATAAAGTCACATGCACACGTATGTTTATTGCGGCACTATTCACAATAGCAAAGACTTGGAACCAACCCAAATGTCCGTCAATGATAGACTAGATTAAGAAAATGTGGCACATATACACCATGGAATATTATGCAGCTATAAAAAAGGATGAGGTCAAGTCCTTTGTAGGGACATGGATGAAGCTGGAAACCATCATTCCGAGCAAACTATCGCAAAGACAGAAAATCAAACACCGCATGTTCTCACTCAAACGTGGGAAATTGAACAATGAGAACATTTGGACACAGGGTGCGGAACATCACACACCGGGGCCTGTCGTGGGGTGGGGAGAAGTGGGAGGGATAGCATTAGGAGATATACCTAATGTAAATGACCAGTTAATGGGTGCAGCACACCAACACAGCACATTTATACATATGTAACAAACCGGCACGCTGTGCACATGTACCCTAGAACTTAAAAGCATAATAATAAAAAATAAATAAATAAATAAATTTGAAAGGAAAAAAAAGGTAGCAAAGGATAAAATCATTGTTAGCTCACACATTAAAAAGGAAAATAACGGAAGATATCTTCTTCCAGTCTCCACCCCTAGGGATGGGAACTGCACCTGGCAAACAAGAGGGCATTCAACACGTAGTATGTTAAAATGAGTAACTCCCCAAAAGTACTACGTGGAAGGCGATATAGTTATTATAACCAAGTTCTGGGGAAACATGGTGTTGAAAACCTTACTGAAGCTAACTACGTGCGTCACCTTCCAGGAGCCAGATACATCCTGAGGGCTTCCCAGATCAACCCCTCATCCCTGCGACAGAGCCACAACCCAGCACCACCTTCCCACGCCTGTCAGCGGAGGCCCCAGCCCAGGCAGGCCCAGGGACTACGCGACGGCGGGCGGGGCTTCCGGCCAGGTGGACGCTCGGAAGTTCCCGGGGTCCCCGGGGCGCGCCCCTCCCCGTCACGTCCCCCGTTCGCCGCGTCCACGCCTGCGGTTTCCCCGGGCCTGGGAAGCGTCTGGAGCCAAAGGCGCGGCAGGCGGAGAGGCCTCACACCGCCCAGGGGCTTCCCTGCGCAGAGGCCGACGCCAGGCCCAGGGACGCGCTCCTGGGGTCCCCCCTACGACCGAGCGCGCAGCCAGCACCCGCAGCGAGCCCCCGAGCCCGAGGGGCGTGGGAACCACGCGGGCAACCCGGCTGCCCTTCCAGTCCCAGGACGCTTCCCCATCAGGCCGGTGCTAGGCGGGCGGGCGTTCGGGACCCGGGTATCGTAGCCTCTGGAACGCTCACCCGGGCGGCGCAGGCCAGGGACGCCCATGGACGGCGCGACCTCCTCCATTCCACACACGCGCCCACGTCCAAAGTGCGCATGCTCGGCAGCTGGGACCAATAGGAATCTCCGTCCGGGGGTAGCTGGGGCCAATCACAGCGCGTCTAGCGTGTGGGCGGTGTCTCCTCCTGTTACGCGTGCGCGGAGCTGCTGCGTTGCGCGGTCCTGAGTTTTTCAGCGGCTAGGGGAGGTGGGCTGAAGGCTTGGCTGCGCTGCCTCACTGAGCCGGCTCAGCCAGCGAAGGTGTTCCTGGAACGCCAGACACTTAGGATGGGAGGTTCTTTCATCTGGAAGAGGGCCCTGGCGTCTGGAGCTTCCCTCCCTTCTGTCCTGCTGAGTTGTCCCTGCGTCGCCCGGGAGTCGTTTAGGTGTGGGCAGGCCACCTCTGCCCCACCACGATCCTGTTATTTTACTGTTCCATTATTTCTCTCACTTTCCTATTTGTTAAGTCAAACTTTTTCCTTCCATAGCCATGGCCCCTTAGAAGGCTACCCATGCCTCGACATATCTGACATTCGACGTTTTACCCAAATAATTGGCCAAAGTCTATTGCCTTTTTTAACTTCTATTTTCTAAAACTAGTTTGATCCTAATCAACACAGTTTTTTTCAACAAGCATGTAAGTGTGCATATTTTAGACATGCGAGGCCTGAGTTTAACCCGTCTGCTACTAACTTGTGTTGTCTCAGAAGTTTATCTAACCCCGTGCTTCGGTTCTCATATATAAACTGAAACTTTATAGACTCACTGGTGGCCTGTAAGCCTTAAGTTGAAACATGGAGCCTATCAGAACTGTGCCTGGCACGTGGTGAAATGTTCAAAAGTTAATATTGTTATTAGGTGCTGGGCAGTTTTCTAAGCCTTGGGATATAGGGATCAAAGTCCCTGATGTTCTGGTGTTTCTAATTTATTGTGGACATTTCGCTATCTTTTTTGGATACAGATCTTTATTTTCATAAACATGGATAATTTTCATTGAGTGCAGTGTGATCTCATGATACTTTTGTAGTATTTCATCATTATACTTATATTCTTTTTAAAATTTGGGTACTGTTGAGGGAAAGTGAGAATGACATGATTTTGATAACTTGGTAGAAGAACCTTTTTCATTCATCTGGTGTTGCCACATTGGGGCTCTGGGTGCTTTATGAATCATGTTCACAAATCATACTTGTGTCCATGGGTCTTTTCACTATAGCCACCATAGTTCAGGGTGAGATTTTTCACACCGACTGTAAAAGATTATCTGCAGACAATGGTAATGAGCTTGTCTGGTTGGTGTCCTGTTGTTTTCCCAAGTACATACTTGGAAGAGAATGAACAAAAGACTAAAACATGGGTGAATAGATGTTTTTCAGTGAGCTAAAAAAAAAAAAAAAAAAATCACTTTACAAGAATAATTGCTTGATATTCTACAGCAGTTTTGCAGATTTCTGAAATGGAAGAAACAGATAGTGATGGAATGCTGCTAAAAGAAATACAAGAGAATAACACCTTTGGTGCTTGTTAATCTCATTTTGAATGTTTTTTAAAAGCTGTCAATTACATGTTTGGTGACTGCTTTGAAAGTTCTGATTCTGTTGCATGTGAATCAACAAGGTAGCTTAGAAAGCGTGATGGCAGAATACAAATTGTCTTAAAAGAGTTCATAGATATTCACAATCTTTGTATTGAAAGAAGTATGATGAAACTCCCCAGGTCTGGTTAGGGCAGCACTGGGAATACAAGGTGAGAAATTGGAAGAATTTACCACACACAAAAAAAATAGTATGTCTGTATTAGTCCATTCTTGTATTGCTATGAAGAAACACGTGAGACTGGGTAGTTTATAAAGAAAACAGGTTTAATTGGCTTACAGTTCTGCAGGCTGTACAGCATGGTGCTGGCATCTGTTAGGCTTCTGGGGGAGGCCTCAGGGAGCTTTTATTCATGGTGGAAGGCCAGCAGGAGCAAGAGAGAAAAGCGGTGGGGAGGTGACACAATTTGCAACAACCAGATCTTGCAGGAACTCCATATTAGGAAGTCAGCACCAAGCCTGAGGGATCTGCCTCCATGACCCAAACACCTCCCACCAGCCCCTGCCTCCAACATTGGGGATTAAAATTCAGCGTGAGATTTGGTGGGGACATATATTCAAAATGTATCAGTGTCATTTTATGAAATATTCTGGGCTGAAAAAGGGGATCTACAAGCAACTTTTAAAAAGAAGATAATTAACATCTCTCAGTTAACAGTTTCTAACTTGAATCCTAAATAGGCCAAGTGTGCAGCATACTTGTGGTTTTTGATCAGACACTACCTGTGATCTCTCTTTTTCTTAGTTCTAATAAACAGATACTAAGTCTTAGAAAGTTTCTAATAATTTGGGCACGATAGCATTTTTTAAGCAAAGACCTAGAGCAACATGTTGCTGAACTTTCTGAGCAAAGAAAGTCAAGTGATATAGAAAACTGATTCCTGGGCCAGGGGCAGTGGCTCACGCCTGTAATCCCAGCACTTTGGGAGGCCAAGGTGCGCAGATCACGACATCAGGAGTTCAAGACCAGCCTGACCAATATGGTGAAATCCATCTCTACTAAAATACAAAAATTGGCCAGGCACGGTGACATGTACCTATAGTCCCAGCTACTTGGGAGGCTGAGGTAGCAGAATTGCTTGAGCCCAGGAGGTAGAGGTTGCAGTGAGCAGAGATCGTGCTATTATACTCCAGCCTGAGTGATAGAGCAAGACTCCGTCTCAAAAAAAAAAAAAAAAAAAAAAGGAAGAAAAAGGAAAACTGACTCCTTCAAAATCCATTTTGAATGTAATAGCGGAAAGTTGTTTTCCCCCCTTGCAAATTACAGGCATATGTCAGAGATATTGGGGATTCAGTTCCAGACCACCTCAATAAAGTGATTATCACAATAAAGCATGTCAGATGAAGTCCTAGACAGCATCTCATTCCACATAAGGCTATTTTGTCTACACTGAAAAACTGTTGTTCAGTGTAGCCACCTTTATCAATGATCTTCTGGATAACTTGTGGCAGTGTCTACATTGGCACTTGCTGCTTCACGTTGCAGTTTTATGTATGGAGACAGCTTCTTTCCTTAATCCTCATCAGCCAGTGTCTGCCAGCTTTAAACTTTTCTGCAGCTTTCTTATGTCTCTCAGTCGTCATAGAAAAGAAGAGAACTGGGGCTTTGTTCTGGATTAAACATTGGCTTAAGGGAATGATATGTCTGATTTGACCTATCCAGACTGCTAAAACTTTCCCTAGATGAGCAAAAAGACTGTTTCACATTCTTCTTATCCCTATATTCACTGAGGTTGCACTTTTAATTTTTTTTCAAGAACGTTTCCTTTGCATTCAAAACTTGGCTAACCCTTTGGAACAAGAGGCCTAGCTTTCAACCTATCCAGCTTCTGACGTGCCTTCCTTGCGAAGCTTAATCATTGCAAGCTTTTGATTTAAAGTGAGAGACTTGCAAGTCTCCCTTTCACTTGAATGCCTAGAGGCCACTGTAGGGTTATTCATTGGCCTAGTTTTAACATTGTGTCTCAGGGAACAGGGAGACTTAATGGGAGGGAGAGAGATGGGGAACAGATGATTGGTGGTGCTGTCAGAACACACATATTTACCAATTCAGTTTAAAGTCTTATATGGGTGTGGCTCTTGGCACCCCCAAACAATTATAATGGTAACATCAAAGATCACTCACCACATATCATCATAACAGATATAATAATAAGAAAAAGTTTGAAATATTGTGAGGATTACCAAAATTTGACACAGATACATGAACTAAGCACATGCTGTTGGAAAAATGGCGCTGATAGACTTGCTCAATGCAAGGCTGCCACAGCCATTCAATTTATGTATATATATGTATATAAAAGATAGTATCTCTGAAGCACAATAAAGCAAAGTGTACAATAAAATAAGTATGACTGAATAAACTTTTAGTCCCTCAGGTTTTCAATTAATAAAACCACTTGGGAAAGTCAATTACTTGCCATGAAAACCTGCATTTTGTTTAGAAAACTAGAAAATATGCTATTCCCTCATTTTTATTATTTTCATGCATAATATTGTTAAACTCTTAATGCATGTTCACTGATTAAATATAATCTATCTGACATGCTAAACACATTTAGCTCTCATTTTTTTTCATTAGTTTCAAGATAAACTGGTTATAACTTAGACTAGAATAATTAATGTTTGAAATTTTGATGTTTCAGAGTCCAGGAATGCTTTATACTCAGCAATGTTTTGACTTTCTTTTCCATAATCATCTAAAATAGAAGTCATGTGGTAAAGCATTTGAACCAGAAGAAAATAGTTAAAGAAACGTAACCATTTTATGGAAAGAGAAGCAGGCAGTTTCCAGAAGAGCAGGATATTTACCGACCTGACCAATGTTAGTCACTTTGGACATTTTCTTAAGAGGGTTAGTTTATAATTTTATATCAAATCAAGTCTACCTAGATATGTCAGATGGCTGGATCTCAGTTAAAGGAAATATACAGTGAGGATAAATAAAGAAAAATAGATCATATTATTTTGGAGATAAATATTTATAATCATTGAGTCAAGCAGAAAATTATTTAAATGAGCAACAGAAGATTCTTGTATATCAATGTGAAATTTTGGGGGAACATAAAAATACAAATCAGTAAAAAGGAACTTAATGTAGATAAGCTTTTCTTTGAGGTGGCAAAGGAAATTGACAAGGGAAACTTCTGACTTTAAATCTTAGAAAGTATGTGAGTTTCATTTGATCCGATATAAATCTTTCATTGTCGGGTTAAGACACAGGATAGGAATGGCAAGAAAGGCAGGAATGAGGGATCGGGGTAGAAAAGGCTCTGAAGTTGGGAAAATTGAGTCTGGGTCCTTTCATTGTCAGATGGTTCTATCAAGAAGGAACAAGAAGAAGGAAAGAAAACTGCTATTATTTTCTCCCTTAATGTCCACCCATGTCAGGCCACGTACCAGGTACTTTCATTATATGCCAACCATGTGACTTGGGACAAGTTAATTCTCAAGTCATAGTTTCCTTGG